TTCAAAAACCAAGCAACACCAAACTGAAAAACCCACCAAAAAGCCCCACAGAATCCCTGCATATTTGCTACTAGTTTTGCAGAATCTTAACTGGGCTCTGGTGATCAGATTTAGTAAACAAACAAATACATAGATAAATAATTAGTATAGTGTACTCTTCAGTATAAAACAAAAACACCTATATGAACACTAGCAATTCTGCTTTTTAAAATTAATGATCTGTAGCCAACCAAATGTAAAAGATAATTAGTTTACCTTTTCTACTACTACTACTACAAATTGTATTTTACTTCCCTTTGAACCTTTAGAATTTACATTTTCAAATTTATCCTGCAATAATGAGACCTTGCATTTACTTCCTAAAGGAAGCTCATATTTTCACAACCAAACAGCTCCGTAAGTCCAAGGCTTTAAAATGCTCTTTATATTAGAACAGTGACAGAATTGTGACTGCTGGCAACTTAGAACAAAAATAAATGAAACTGAATTCTGTCAAGACAATAATTATGTTGGTGAGAAGAAAGATGCATTTTTACTTGTCATTGTATCCCATTTTATGAAGGGAATTTTCTTCAGACTGAACACATGTTCCTACATCAGAATGATGTTCTATTTCCCAGAGTTGCCAGAAACACAAAAGTCTACTACTATATTAAAAAAAATATGAAGAAGCATTTGAGCTTTTTCATAATTTTTCAGTCTATGTTAATATAGTAAAGCTTGATTTTACTTTTATTTTCTCCCTTTGAAGATGCAGTGAATAGAACTTTGATCAGTCATATGAGATGTATTTGTACTTCCTTAGCTCCTTTGAGAGAGGTATTTGCTTTAAAAATGTAATAGATTTCCTTTTATCCCTCTGCATCTGAACTTTGAAACAACTTTTCAGAAATACCTTTCGAAGATCAGGCTGAAGTTAATTATTTCAAAGTACCTGTTACACACCATAATATAGAAACAAATTTGATTACCCATATATTTGCAAAAAGGCTATTTATTATATAGCCTCTGTGACTGTTTTTGTTTTGTTCCCTGCATGTGTGTGTACCCCAGGAAGTAAACACACACAATACACACTATAAAGATCGTAAATCTTGTCAGTAGAAATGTTTTTAGCAAGTGTGTCCTGCATATCTGACACAAAACATTCAATATCTCCTCTCAGCAACTGTTTTCTTTGTATCACCAGACCTGGGTGACTAAACAGTAAACTGTTGAGGACAAACAGCAGGCAAAACATCCACGTGCAGAAATGCAGCCAAAACCAGCCTTACATTTTTAATTCTCAGATCCCTTGTTCTGCAGCCTGTATACTTACCTGTACAATGAAAAATACAAAGACTAATAACTTCTGGAAGGAAATTAAGTTATGTCAGAAGGAGCTATGACTTCATCTAAATGAAGACTAAAGAGATTAAAAAAAAATCTTTGTTCTTATGTGTAATCTTAATTCTCCTATTGTGTTATGATTTGTGTAACCCCCATGTGGCTTTTCTATAAAATTAAATTAATCTATTCAATTAATGTGATGTTGCTGAAATATAGTGCCAAGCTAGGACCCTTGACTTTCCATTACATGACAGGACCAATTCCTTAACAACAGCATTTTAAGGAAACCTATTCTTCTAGTCTTTTAGGAAAAATGTGAAAAAAAAGTCAGCATAGAATTGATTAATGAGAAAGTCCAAAACCACAATGGAAATAATTTAACCTCACTTTCTCTTCATACCTATTGGACAAAAGATGGTCATTTACTGCCTTATTTTGCTTACCTTCAATGTCAAAGTAACTATCAAATAGTTTATTTAAGTGATGAATGGACAAGGATAGCAATTCAATTGTTAGAGATAAGAGAATCAAATTTTAAACACCTTAAAATGAAACTTTAAGAATAGTGGGAAAATTTGCCATAGACCTTTTAAAAGCCCAACATATGAAAATTCTATAGAGATCCACCTTGTTGCATGCCCAGAAAGACTGGTATTAAATTATTTTTGAGGAGTTTGAATTATTAAAGGACAATAAATTGCCTAGAACAAATTAAGTTAATTACTGGACCAAATTCATAGTCCAGCTATTGACAGTAACACTCTAATATTTGACCTCCTATATTTCAGTAGAATTTTCTGCAACTCTGGAAAACCAAATATGTTATCCAATAAACAAGTCTACTGTCAAATGCATGGTGAAAGAGAATGGGAGTTGAGCCCAAAGACACCATGTACCTCAAAGGTACCCTCAAAGGGGGTTGCATCAGAGGCCCCCCAGAAGTCCTGATCAACCTGTAGCACCTTAACTGTGTTGAAGTATTTTAAACACATATTCTTCTTTCAAAATGACTCCAATACTTAAAATTCAATTACAATATATTCTGGCCAAGCCATCTGCAGCTATATTTAAACTCTATTTATACCCAAGGTTTATTTTAAAGCAAACACTTATCACTTTTAACACAGCTATCTGAATATAATAAAGGCAGAAAATGTTAGAGATTTTTCATTAAGTTTTTATCCAAGACTACATAATTCTTCCTTCAGCCTATAAACTGTCTGTACACCAATTCACTTGTGGCATTTAGGAACTACAGCCGTAGGTTTTGTTTCTTTCACTGTGATATGCATTCAGTGGATGTGCTTCAGCTAAATCAAACATTAGCACTACAGTGGATGGCTCCTCACAGTTCTTCTTAGTGAGGATTTTTACTTTGGATTTTACTCAGGTCTTTGGTCTGAAACAGCCTGTATTAATAACCTCCTAAATATGCTATAAAATGTCATTCTCTCTACAGGATGTGGTGAATGGTAAATAAAGTGTATGCACAAGCATGATTGGGGTATAAGAGGCTTTTCTATACTTTTTGTAGTTTTGCTATCTTCTTGCTACAGCAATTTTATTAAGAATTCTGCCTGTCAATATAACACTGTATTGACCATTTTGTTAATATTAATATTGTGCTTGTTACCTATTTGTCATTACAGTGCAGCAGAGGCTGTGGAAAACATTTCGTTTTCAAGTGAATTTTAACTTTTGAGTTTTGTGTCCACTTCCATCTAACAGTACAAAATATGTGTGATTGAAGAGAATAACAACAACAGCAAGTAAAAAACCATCAGTCAGTCTGACAGAGATCATATCTTGCCATCTGTGAATTAGGTGGATCAGCATATTAGCTACAAAATACTGCTTGGTGACTTTTTGCAGCACTTTTAATCTTAAAATGGATTTTTACAAACAGAAGGATGAAGAAAACTAATATTTAGAACTGGTACATATAATCAACATTGTCTCTGCATGGCACTTTACCTGGGATGAAAATGTACAGACCAGGAAGTCTGCCTGAGACAAAAAGTGAATATCCAGAATGACACCTCTTAGGGAGTTTTCAGTGTATCGGTTATGGAGTCCTGCTGACCAGGATATGGAGTTATCACTGATAAATTCATAATTTGGATACCTGTGAAAATAAAATACACAGTTAATAGCATTGTTCTATGTATTTTTTTAAGAAGCATTACCCCTGCTGCAAGACAGGGTTGCTATTTTGTTTTAAGTGAGTCTCTGCTTTACAGAAAATTAATTACAATTTTGCTGAATCTTCTAGAATGTCACTGCTGCCTCCAAGCATGCCCTCTCTTTATCTAGAAAAAATAATTATATAAAAAGATCCTGTAAGTCTGTCTAATACATAACAAAGTAGAAGTGAAAGAAGTATTAGGAAGTATATATCACATTCTGCAAATTATGCTGATTTTAGATGAAATATACTCAGATCACTAAGTTTTCTCTACTGCTAAACAGGATATGGGATTCTGATTTTACTTAAGTTTTCTCTACTGCTAAACAGGATATGGGATTCTGATTTTACTAGACTACATTTATTATCAGACTATTAGATACTGATTAGAACACTGTGCAAAAAGAACAGTCACCTGTAAAAGGGACATATTAAATTAATGCATGTAAACCAATGAAAAGAATAAAAAGTCTTTCACAGTTTGTAAGGCCATATGAAGAAGAAATTTTTCAATTCACTGGTCAAAAGGAATTTTAATGTAGAATTCTATGCCAATACACTTTTCTTGACTTATTACAAAAAAAAAATTAATACTACTTTAAGTCAAAATATTTTTTTTAAATATGAAACCTTAGTTTATATGATATTAAAAGATTTTATCATATAACAATAACTTAAAATTCTGTAGTTGGCTGGTAGTCATGTGAGTTGCCCTTAATGATTGAAATGTAATTGCTCTGTAATAGCAACGTAGTTACCACCTTTGTTACATCTGTAATAATTGTCTTTGATAGGGGACAGATTGAAAATTTAATTATTTAATTAATATTTTAAATTATTAAATGTTTAATTACTTTAATTTGTGCTTCTTTCCACAGTTTCTTCCCGATTTCAACTCCCCATTACAGAAGTGTAATCTTTTTGAGAAATTTTCAATATTTTAAATGGATTTTAAAAGAATTTTAAGTTATTGTTATGTGATAAAATCTTTTAATATCATATAAACTAAGGTTTCATATTTAAAAAAAATATTTTGACTTAAAGTAGTATTAATTTTTTTTTTGTAATAAGTCAAGAAAAGTGTATTGGCATAGAATTCTACATTAAAATTCCTTTTGACCAGTGAATTGAAAAATTTCTTCTTCATATGGCCTTACAAACTGTGAAAGACTTTTTATTATTTTCCTTGGTTTACATGCATTTATTTAATATGTCCCTTTTACAGGTGACTGTTCTTTTTGCACAGTGTCCTAATCAGTATCTAATAGTCTGGTAATAAATGTAAAATTAGAAAAGTAAAATCAGAATCCCATATCCTGTTTAGCAGTAGAGAAAACTTAGTGATCTGAGTATATTTCATCTAAAATCAGCATCATTTGCAGAATGTGATATATACTTCCTGATACTTCTTTCACTTATACTTTATGTATCATACAGATTTACAGGATCTTTTTATGTAATTATTTTTTCTAGATAAAAAGAGGGCATGCTTGGAGACAGCAGTGACATTGTAGAAGATTCACAAAATTGTAATTAATTTCCTGTAAAGCAGAGACTCACTTAAAACAAAATAGCAACCCTATCTTGCAGCAGGGGTAATGCTTCTTAAAAAAATACATAGAACAATGCTATTAACTGTGTATTGTATTTTCACAGGTATCCAAATTATGAATTTATCAGTGATAACTCCATATCCTGGTCAGCAGGACTCCATAACCGATACACTGAAAACTCCCTAAGAGGTGTCATTCTGGATATTCACTTTTTGTCTCAGGCAGACTTCCTGGTCTGTACATTTTCATCCCAGGTAAAGTGCCATGCAGAGACAATGTTGATTATATGTACCAGTTCTAAATATTAGTTTTCTTCATCCTTCTGTTTGTAAAAATCCATTTTAAGATTAAAAGTGCTGCAAAAAGTCACCAAGCAGTATTTTGTAGCTAATATGCTGATCCACCTAATTCACAGATGGCAAGATATGATCTCTGTCAGACTGACTGATGGTTTTTTACTTGCTGTTGTTGTTATTCTCTTCAATCACACATATTTTGTACTGTTAGATGGAAGTGGACACAAAACTCAAAAGTTAAAATTCACTTGAAAACGAAATGTTTTCCACAGCCTCTGCTGCACTGTAATGACAAATAGGTAACAAGCACAATATTAATATTAACAAAATGGTCAATACAGTGTTATATTGACAGGCAGAATTCTTAATAAAATTGCTGTAGCAAGAAGATAGCAAAACTACAAAAAGTATAGAAAAGCCTCTTATACCCCAATCATGCTTGTGCATACACTTTATTTACCATTCACCACATCCTGTAGAGAGAATGACATTTTATAGCATATTTAGGAGGTTATTAATACAGGCTGTTTCAGACCAAAGACCTGAGTAAAATCCAAAGTAAAAATCCTCACTAAGAAGAACTGTGAGGAGCCATCCACTGTAGTGCTAATGTTTGATTTAGCTGAAGCACATCCACTGAATGCATATCACAGTGAAAGAAACAAAACCTACGGCTGTAGTTCCTAAATGCCACAAGTGAATTGGTGTACAGACAGTTTATAGGCTGAAGGAAGAATTATGTAGTCTTGGATAAAAACTTAATGAAAAATCTCTAACATTTTCTGCCTTTATTATATTCAGATAGCTGTGTTAAAAGTGATAAGTGTTTGCTTTAAAATAAACCTTGGGTATAAATAGAGTTTAAATATAGCTGCAGATGGCTTGGCCAGAATATATTGTAATTGAATTTTAAGTATTGGAGTCATTTTGAAAGAAGAATATGTGTTTAAAATACTTCAACACAGTTAAGGTGCTACAGGTTGATCAGGACTTCTGGGGGGCCTCTGATGCAACCCCCTTTGAGGGTACCTTTGAGGTACATGGTGTCTTTGGGCTCAACTCCCATTCTCTTTCACCATGCATTTGACAGTAGACTTGTTTATTGGATAACATATTTGGTTTTCCAGAGTTGCAGAAAATTCTACTGAAATATAGGAGGTCAAATATTAGAGTGTTACTGTCAATAGCTGGACTATGAATTTGGTCCAGTAATTAACTTAATTTGTTCTAGGCAATTTATTGTCCTTTAATAATTCAAACTCCTCAAAAATAATTTAATACCAGTCTTTCTGGGCATGCAACAAGGTGGATCTCTATAGAATTTTCATATGTTGGGCTTTTAAAAGGTCTATGGCAAATTTTCCCACTATTCTTAAAGTTTCATTTTAAGGTGTTTAAAATTTGATTCTCTTATCTCTAACAATTGAATTGCTATCCTTGTCCATTCATCACTTAAATAAACTATTTGATAGTTACTTTGACATTGAAGGTAAGCAAAATAAGGCAGTAAATGACCATCTTTTGTCCAATAGGTATGAAGAGAAAGTGAGGTTAAATTATTTCCATTGTGGTTTTGGACTTTCTCATTAATCAATTCTATGCTGACTTTTTTTTCACATTTTTCCTAAAAGACTAGAAGAATAGGTTTCCTTAAAATGCTGTTGTTAAGGAATTGGTCCTGTCATGTAATGGAAAGTCAAGGGTCCTAGCTTGGCACTATATTTCAGCAACATCACATTAATTGAATAGATTAATTTAATTTTATAGAAAAGCCACATGGGGGTTACACAAATCATAACACAATAGGAGAATTAAGATTACACATAAGAACAAAGATTTTTTTTTAATCTCTTTAGTCTTCATTTAGATGAAGTCATAGCTCCTTCTGACATAACTTAATTTCCTTCCAGAAGTTATTAGTCTTTGTATTTTTCATTGTACAGGTAAGTATACAGGCTGCAGAACAAGGGATCTGAGAATTAAAAATGTAAGGCTGGTTTTGGCTGCATTTCTGCACGTGGATGTTTTGCCTGCTGTTTGTCCTCAACAGTTTACTGTTTAGTCACCCAGGTCTGGTGATACAAAGAAAACAGTTGCTGAGAGGAGATATTGAATGTTTTGTGTCAGATATGCAGGACACACTTGCTAAAAACATTTCTACTGACAAGATTTACGATCTTTATAGTGTGTATTGTGTGTGTTTACTTCCTGGGGTACACACACATGCAGGGAACAAAACAAAAACAGTCACAGAGGCTATATAATAAATAGCCTTTTTGCAAATATATGGGTAATCAAATTTGTTTCTATATTATGGTGTGTAACAGGTACTTTGAAATAATTAACTTCAGCCTGATCTTCGAAAGGTATTTCTGAAAAGTTGTTTCAAAGTTCAGATGCAGAGGGATAAAAGGAAATCTATTACATTTTTAAAGCAAATACCTCTCTCAAAGGAGCTAAGGAAGTACAAATACATCTCATATGACTGATCAAAGTTCTATTCACTGCATCTTCAAAGGGAGAAAATAAAAGTAAAATCAAGCTTTACTATATTAACATAGACTGAAAAATTATGAAAAAGCTCAAATGCTTCTTCATATTTTTTTTAATATAGTAGTAGACTTTTGTGTTTCTGGCAACTCTGGGAAATAGAACATCATTCTGATGTAGGAACATGTGTTCAGTCTGAAGAAAATTCCCTTCATAAAATGGGATACAATGACAAGTAAAAATGCATCTTTCTTCTCACCAACATAATTATTGTCTTGACAGAATTCAGTTTCATTTATTTTTGTTCTAAGTTGCCAGCAGTCACAATTCTGTCACTGTTCTAATATAAAGAGCATTTTAAAGCCTTGGACTTACGGAGCTGTTTGGTTGTGAAAATATGAGCTTCCTTTAGGAAGTAAATGCAAGGTCTCATTATTGCAGGATAAATTTGAAAATGTAAATTCTAAAGGTTCAAAGGGAAGTAAAATACAATTTGTAGTAGTAGTAGTAGAAAAGGTAAACTAATTATCTTTTACATTTGGTTGGCTACAGATCATTAATTTTAAAAAGCAGAATTGCTAGTGTTCATATAGGTGTTTTTGTTTTATACTGAAGAGTACACTATACTAATTATTTATCTATGTATTTGTTTGTTTACTAAATCTGATCACCAGAGCCCAGTTAAGATTCTGCAAAACTAGTAGCAAATATGCAGGGATTCTGTGGGGCTTTTTGGTGGGTTTTTCAGTTTGGTGTTGCTTGGTTTTTGAATTTTTTGGGGGCTATTTTTGTAAGTTGGTTGGTTATGTGTTTTTTTTGGACCTAGCTATTCCAGACCCTGATACTCTTGGAAATGCTATTGTGCACTGGTTGTTGATTTCTGTGGTATATTTCAGTCACACACAATATTAATGACTTCTGTTTTTATTTCTAAGGTTTGTCGAGTTGCCTATGAAATTATGCAGACATTGCATCCAGATGCTTCGGCGTATTTCCATTCTTTGGATGATATCTACTACTTTGGGGGACAGAATGCTCACAACCAGATTGCTATTTATGCTCATCATCCACGAACTGCTGATGAAATTCCTATGGAACCTGGAGATATAATTGGAGTAGCTGGAAACCACTGGGATGGTTATTCAAAAGGCATCAATAGGAAATTAGGAAGAACAGGCCTGTACCCATCCTATAAAGTTAAGGAGAAAATTGAGACAGTCAAGTATCCTACATACCCAGAGGCTGACAAGTAGATTAAAAGGAAGACATTCAGAAGTTATTATAATAAAACTCAGTTTTGATTGGTTCAAACCAGTCAACAACACACTAACTATTGGTTTCTATGGGATTCGAATTTGCATTTTATCATGCGGTTAAAATCAAAGCCTTTGCAATGAAACTGGAGAAGAAACTGAGAACAAGTGGATGGGCTGTTGTCTGAACTTACTCTTAAACATTTTTGTTATATGCACTCTCACACATGCACACACAATCCCACGTACAACAGGAAAACTGTTGTTTTATACTTCTTGTCTCTTTTCAGGAGTTGTCCCAGTCATTAGTCTTACGTGAGCTTTGGGCTCTTTCCTCCACCATTGACAATAATGTTCAGACTTATAACACTGCCACATTGTGTAATTTGAGTGACATGAACATATTTTGTATGTGCAAAATTTGAAACATGGTGCCTATATTTGAAAAGTTTGTGACCTTTTTAGAAGAGCCATGCCTGTTTCACAATGGGCAAGAGTCCACTTTCATCTGGTGTTACCATGACCACTGAACTTGCTTCAAACAACAGATTCAGATTTCAGACTAGATTTCTTTACAAGTATGGGGTTTTTTTAGCATTCCATTGATTACTTCTCATAATTAATAAAATAAAGGTTACATTCAACAATGAAGTAGTCACTGTCTCTTAGGAGCTTTTGTAAACAATGCCATGAACAGATTCTTTAGTACTGGTAATTTCTAGACATTGCCTTAGACTGAAAAAATTCAACAACACAAAATCCACAAAAGAAGGAAAAGCTAGCTGGAGTTTCATTGAAATTTAAAGCACTTGTGTAGTACAGCAGTTGTGTAGGGCACAGTGCTGCTCAGCTTTGTGGACAGTAGGTTACAGCAGGATTACTTCAGTGGCTAAATTGCTTACATTTACACTCTGACACAATTTCCTTACCTTTTCTGTTTCTCTTCCGAAAATAATTCAGGGTTTAGGTTATTATGGATGGCCACTTAGCATTTTGGCATTGAATGTAATTACTTCTAAGTAAAATACTTCAGGTTATCCCATTTATAGAACCTGTCAGTCTGGACTACTTTAAAAAAATCTAACAGCTTACCCAAAAATAGTAGGTTACAATAAAATATACAAGGATGAATTTTTATGCATGTCATAAGATTGTTAGTAATTCTTAGTGTTTTGAAATCTCTTGCCAGTCAGCTCTCATTAAGAAAAGAGATAATTTACAAAATAATTTTACAAATAAATTCATAGATTTGATGGTTGTATATATAGATACATATAATATGTAAGATGACAAGAGATTGTTTCCAAATTAAAAAAAATATTTAATAGCATTTTATAGCTTCCAGTGCAATCCAGTTTGGATTACTGGAAGTACAGAAATGTTTACTGTCCAGAGACTCAGAAAATGCCACATGAGTAAAGGTTAAAACAGCATGGCTAGTTGACCTTAGCACAGCAAAAGTATATTTAATTACGTTTATGAATAGACCAAGGACAGTGTTAAAATAATGAATGGATGCACTTGACCATGAATAAATTTTAGGCTGAAAACTAAAAGGAAATCTCTGGCAATGTGCAGTTCAGCAGCAGGCTTCCAATTGAAATAGTGGTGAGATGGAACTGGATTGGTATGTGAAGGAATTACAAAGCAGTACTTTCTGGCATTACTTGCAGGACTGAGCCTGTAAATCCCCTCCAGTAACGTGTCCTTCAACTGAAAAATTATTTTGTCTCTTGACAAAAATAACAAAATCAAAGCTGAAAATCTCTGGGGGGAAAAAGATACATTTACTGTAGTGTTAAATAGACATATCTGTGAAAATGAGCTTGGATACCAATTGAGATTTAAAGACTGATTGAAGGGTAATGGAAAATTAGTAAGAGCAGCCAGGAAGTGCGAAAGATGAATTTTTGTGACAAAAGATGCCTAGAGTCATCTGGCGTTTCTGTATTTTGGAGCTACCAAGGAAGCAATTTTATGTTAGTTTCCTGCCTAAGTGATGCTGGCAAATTTTCCAGTAATTCAGGCAAATGTGGTATTTCAGAGGTACAAATGCAGGCTAAATAATAATTATTTTTTTTTATACTTTATTTTGAATTGTACATATAAAGCCACTACTGCTTTCCTTTTCAACTTGAAAAAAAAATCCAAACCCCTGAACATTTCTTCCTCAGCAATTAAGTCAATGCATTTTATTTTTGGGAAAAACTAGTTTAATTGTTTCTCCACAAATACTACATTAGCTAATTTATATAGGTTTATAGATTTTGAAAATGTTCTGTTTTTAAGCTGTTTACTTACAGCTTCAGAGCCCATCATTTCTAGCTCATTTCTTAGAGTGTGATTCAGAAATAATATTCAGAAATAAATTAACACTAAAATCTTTCTGTAGTCAGGTAGCTGAGTTAAAAATACAACAGAAGAAGGTAAATAACAGAATACCTAAGGTGAGCCCAAAGGTGAAAGCAGATCTTCTGGTGTGGTAATGACAAAACAGAACACTGGTGTTGTAGAAGCTGCACCTATAAAATGTGGCAATTCCTCAGCAGACTGTATCTGACAAAGCATTGGCATGGCACACATGCTTCCTTACATATTCTAAGTACCTAATGAATAATTAGGTCATCATCTTTGAGAAAATGATACAAAATTATAGCATTACTGTTAATAATTCAGAAATGTATGACTAGATGCTATGATCTTATTCCCCTGAGTCATATGATCCTCTAGTGCTTGAAGTTGAGTACTTCTCAGAGGAAGAAATCTAGCAATACCCTGCTTGCTAGATGCATGTTTCTAGAGATTTGTTTCCTTTAAGACTACCAATTAGTTATATTTTGGAATCCTGGGACATTGGTACATGAAAACTGATTTTGTTTTATATTGAACAAAATGAATACTTGAGACTTTGTTCTCGGTGTAGTCAGGTCTATATTAATAGAAGGATTGATGAGTACATGGAAAAGAGACCCCCAGATTTTTATTGTAGCTCACAGAAAAGTGAAATAATAGGAAATAAAAATTTTGTCTTGAATACCTGGGATAAAGCTGAATCTTTTGAAGGCTATGAACTCATTAAGTTACTAGCCAGAATGCCTGTGAGGAAGCAAGCATACACTGTGTTTCTTCTGTTTATCTTGTAGCTCTGCAGCAATTTAGTCTTGTAATTTTTGCCTCATACCAAACCACCTTCTCTGCTATCCATGAAACAATAAGCCTTCAGACGCCCTTAAACAAGCACTGTTTAATTAAATTTTTTCTCTCTAAGAAACTTTGGTGCGTGTGTTTGCGTTGTATGCATGTTGCATACATAAAACCCAATATGAACAGCACTCTTGCGTTCTTTGTGATTTTGTGTTACCACCGTCACATTCTCTGTAAAAACTTACTCGCCAGCTAAATGTAACCTTTGGAAACTTTGTATTCTACGTGCTGCTTGGAAGCTAAGAAATTTATTCTGAGTGGCTCAGTTAACTGGTCTTCTGTGACATTGATGTACCACTGACCTGAGTTCTTGATTTTCAAGCCAGCCTGTGGTCAAATGCGTGGGATTTACAGGCTCTCTCTACCACCATCCTGCCCATGTGAGCTGCTGAGTATTATGGATTTGTTAATGAAAAGTGATATTTTATTTCAAAGTTTTTACATATTTTTAAATGTTTACCTTCAGATAGGTCTTTTTGTTTAATTCTTCTATCACTGAACTTTAAGAAAACTAGGGAAAACAAAGATTTTTCTCCTTTATCAATTTTCTGAAAGGAGATCTGGTGGTACCTTTTTTTACAGAGAGATATTCACAATGTAAATGTTTACTTCATAATGGGTTTTATGTTTCTTTGGTTTGCAATTGTGAAATAAGGGTCTTCTGAGCTAGGAACATAATAGAAAATAAGTGGAAAATTTTCATGACAAATTCTTGATAGGGGGAGGGAGATTTTTCTTCCTGCCAGTGGAATAGCACCTACCATTTGGAACCTTTTCATAACAGTGAATCGAACTTAGTTTTTCCAGGTCATTAGTTTCTTCACAATGTAATCTCTGACGTGACAGAGGAATCCAGATTAAAATAATTTGCTTAGTTTGGGAAATGGGAAGGAGAGAGAGTCTAGTAAAACATGATATTGTGGTTTTAATATGAGTTGCTATATCACCTTATAAAGCCACAAATAAACATTTCTGTATTGGGTGAAGGATCTCAGCTAGTGAAATCGTGTATAGAATTTGCAACCCTCCTTTTGATTTTGCCTAACACCAGTCCAAGTTGTGTATAAACATCGTGGGCATATTCTGATTCTTGTTTGTTATTATTGAAACTACAGTTTCATTCCTATTTTGGTGGCATGGGAGCAGGTTGTCAAGGGGCTCAAAAAGTTAGTTTTCTTATTCTATGGAATTAAAAGTGCATTTAAAGCTAATTTAAATTCTACTTTTCTAAGGTGCTCCTAGAATTGTAATTGTAGTCTCCAGACTTTTGTCAAGGTTCTCTCTATCTACCTGCAAGCTTACCTGGAGCAAGACTGAAGCAAAGAAAGTTATTTATAAATATGAACTGCATACAGGTTGTGTTTGACTTCATAGTATCTTGTTCATTTCTAAAAAGCATGAAATGTGGCCCTGCATGATACAAATAAGAGGATAGTATAAAATTCCCAAGCCTGCAAAAAAGAATTGCTTGTATGCTTGCCTGCATCGCTGGTTGCATTCACTGTGTACAAGATTATTTAGGAATTGAAGTACATAAGGCAGAGGTCTTTCAGTGTTCCTGCTGAATCCCTTCCCCTGATGTTTGGTGGTGTTTAGTCCGTTCAGTTCTGTGCACAGACAATGCTGGTGATATTTGCTATTCAGTGGAATCCCTTTATTTTTTATGCTTGTTTCCTTTGACTCAGCTTGTCAGCAGAATCCTATTGCCACTGCAATTCAAACAAGTTTGGATTACTGCAAAGGCATGCCAGTTGTTTGCACAAAAATGTCTTTGCCATTGCTCAGAATTAACGTCACACTCAGGCTGGCTCCGTGGGAGGTGCTGTTGAGGGAAGGAGCCATCTCCCCTGCACTGTACTGTACATGTTTTATAACTGCTGGCAGTACATGTACTGGTTTTACTTTCAGTTTTGCATGATTTTTCCACTTTATTCAGACTCGAGGTTTTGTTTTCATTTTAGTATATGAAGGGTTTTCCGGAGGATGGTGAGATGAAGTCCCAAATATCCTACATTTTCTTCAAGAAGTATAACAGACCTCATCCCATTTCCTCTTAAGTGTCTTAAAGACATACTTCAGTTGCACCAAGAAGCAGCTAGCTTGATGTTTCCTGAAGACTGTGACATTTTTTGTTCTTATATTAGCCCTACCATGCATCTGATCCTGATTGATGGTGGTTGTATGAACCTTCTTCACGCCTTTCTGCTTCACATATTTTGATTTCCTTACCCAGCGGTCATTACTTGACCAAGATTCCAAGGGAAAAGTCTGTATTTGGGTTTTCATAATAACATGTGAAATTATATTCCTGGCATGTTTGCATTTTTGTTTTTATTTTTTAGAAACACATTTTTGTGTTGCCCCTCATTAGTACAGTGAAGGATTCAAAGAGGAAACACTATAATCTGATGTGCCTGATAGGTGTTTAGGAGGCTTACAAGGCATAGAAATGCCTTTAATAATAAGGTTTACAACTCATACCATGCTAAGTATGAAGATGAAAGATATATTTTCATAACATTCCCTATTCATTTTTGGCTAGTGCTTGTTATACACTAATGCCTGCAGCTTAATTTGCAAGAAACACAATGTGGATGCAGTCTTTTTACAGGACTATACAGATAATTTGCTGCCCTTCAGCCTTGGAATCCTTTATAACTTAGTTTTAATGTTTCTCCCTGGTAAGTTGGCGGGTGGGGCTGGTTTGTATAATACACCTGCACCATTCTTGGTTAATTAGTCCACTGCAAGCAGAGCCACGAGGATATTGCAGCTCAGCTGTGAGAAGCCACTGAATGTAGAGATTGCTGTCCAGTTTGGCTGTCTACAGAAGAGCCATCTCTCCAAGAAGCCAAGAGTATTTGCTGACACCTTTCCAAGTAGTAGCAAGCTGGAAGAATGGAAAGAGACCAAAAGCCAGGACATCCTACTCACTTCCTTGGGAATGAGAAGGAATTGGGCCTGTGTTATGTTGGTGGGAGTAGTTTGCTTCAGTACTTCAGCTTATTGCTGGAGAATGACCTGTGATGATGAGTTTATAATTCTAAATCTCTGGTCAGTTTGTAACATCTATAAAGTTTTGTTTCCACTTGAGAATAAAATTGTTATACACAATAAGTTCTGACTTTTGGAATTAGACAGTTTCATTCTTGCTTCAGATGGTATGTTAGCTTTTCTTAACATGATGGTTGCCTATGAATAAGATTCAGTTACTCAGAAAAGATGGAAAAATCTTTTTTGGCTGGTTTGGCCATTTTTTAACCTGTACATGAGCAGAGATTATACAGGGGCTAGAGAATCTTATGTACTGGATTTAGGATTGATAGATTCATTCCCTTAACTGTTCCTTTTGTTTATAAACAACAGAAAAATAGTTTTGTTAATATTAGAAGATTATAGTTGCAATGTATCTCCCTGCTCAAAATTAATTTCTTTAGGGCTGATGATGTGCTATGGCTACTTTTTATTACATGGATTCATATTTGCTCTTTTGTGTGTTTCTGAGTGTATTTCTCATTCCTTTTGTCCAATGTTTAGACTATGAGATTTATGATCCAGGAACTGCCTTTTTTGGTGTTTCCACCTCTTTGTCCCAGTGGGATTGTTCATTCAGTAGGATCCCCAGACAGTACAGTAATATGAATAATAATTGTAGACATAAAATTTCTTAAATGTTTAATCTGTAATGCCAAATTCAATATTATTTTTAATGCTTCCTTTTATTTAGGTAACATTAATGTTTTGTTTGGTTATATATATTGTTTATTTGCCATTATGTGTGTATGAAAAAAAAAACAAACCAAACTTTACCTCAAGGAATCCAAGTATCAGAAGTCAGACTCAGGAGGTTATCTTAGATATCTCCTACATGCTGATGACCTTTGTCATTGATAGTATATTTACATGTTTGGTTCTGAAACAGCACAGTTTAATTAAGAAATTATCTTGTGTGCTTCTTGTGCTCTCATTCCTTCTCTTGGAAGTTAATAACTGACTGTGTATGCTAAATCTATTTAACTGTGAATTGAAACAAGTTCCTTTCCATGCTGATTGGTCTGGTATATATTAGTCAATGACGCTTTTGGCAGTAAATGTGAATGTATATCCTTCATTTCTGTGCTTTTAAAATTGAGTAGGAAAATAAGTGAAGGAGCCATTGGAATACCAGGCTTTTCTCACTTTTTTGGTGAAATATCTAGAGCTGACTCATGCCCTGTTTCATTCTTGAGATGCACACATAGACAGCTCTGTATCTTACATGAAGGGATAAAATCTGTTGAAGCATCTGAAGAAGCCTGGAGAAGACCAGGATGCAACCAAGGTAATGTTTGGCTTGATACAAAGGTTTGCAGTCCTGTAATTAACTGGAGGTCTTGTTGTTCTCCTCCTCCTGGGCTACCCCTTCAGGATGTGTTTAACAGACAGACATTATTTTGTTGTGATTTTGTGCTGGATGGACACTGGTTCCAGAACATCCTGTTGCTTTCTGATAAGGTGCATCATGTTAGTACAGCTGCTCTGCTGTACTGCCTCCATAGTAAAACAGTCGGAGTTTTCTCAGTGCAGTGTTGATGGTAGTCCCTCTTCATAGTTTCTCTTGAAGGGTTTCCTTTTGATAAAGCCACACAAAGTGATTGAAAAAAAAACCACTACATAATTCTTTACTGATAAGAGTTATTTTATTTCTGAAGTAGCAGTCATTGGCCTTGCTGGCATACCATCCACAAGATAGATTTTAACTTCTCTCCTGTAGCAAGTAGCTTACTACTGTAAGCTGTTGCCAACAATTTGGTGCTGAAAGTAAGCTTTAAGTCTCTGAAAATGCTTCTGTCTCTTATTACTGTCTGAGAAAGAGTGGTGACCCCTCCTGACAGCAGATGTCTGGAGTCCACAAGAACTAGTTAGGGCTAATTCCATGTGATACAATTTTTTCTCTCAACATTGCCACTCTTTTGCTTAAGTCTCTCTTATCCAGCTTGAATTCATTTTAAGATTTAAATTTAAAAATTTAAATTCTAAAATTAAATTTATTTAAAATTAAAATTTAGTTTAGAAACAAGGCAGTAGTGTTGTCTGATTGAAAAGGAGTAGTAAATAACTTTTCTGAGAATGCTGCTAGTACAAGGCACAACAGTGTCCATTACTCTCTCCATTTATGCAGTAACTTCTCCAGCAAGTTCTCTGCTGTTGCCAGCTTTTATTTCCAACTGATTGCCTCCCTGTCTCTGCTTATACATGGAGTGGTCTTCTACTCTGACCCTTTATATCTCAAAGAACCCCTCCATATATACAAAAACTGAAAACAAAGCTAAATGCAAAGATATTATCAACACATCTGATTTCTTAATCAAATTTCGTCTTCTATATATTATGTTTTTAAGGCTCTCAGAAGAAAAAGGAAAAAAAAATCCTTTTTGTTCAGACTTCTTAATCCTGAAACAATAGATAAAAAGGTTTCTAGGAGAAGTAAAGCTTTTCCAGAAACAGTAGATCATTTAGCCCTAGCACAAACAGTGAAAAGTAGAAAGCTTATTGAATTCCCGAGAGTAGAACTGCATGAAAGAGTACTGAGAGTGCCAGAGTGGAAATACCCAGGATTAGGGTTTGGTTTTCCCCTGTTGGTTTCACAGCTCATCTAAGTTGCTGCTTATCTGTGAGGAATCATCATTAATTTGCATCTGTGGAACTGGACAGACTCTTTAGTGTGCAGGCTGCCTGTCAGAACAGCTACATGAAATTAAGTCTCAAGACTTTTTTAATCTTACTACAAAATTACCTTGATGTTCTCTTAAAGTATTTAGTATTTTTGCATCTTGAGGTTTTTGGATAACCACTTGTGAGTGGTATATAACATGAATGATAGGACTTTAAGTATATCCATCTGGAAAGTGTAGGAACAGCTGTTCATGCATAAGGAGGTACATTGATGTGTCATGTTAATTAATCATTTTCAAGTCATAGGAAGTACAGAGTGTATCAGTGTTTACTGCACAGCAGTATGGCTAGGAAATGATTTGTGAAATCAGTGTCCATTCTAACTGGGATGTTTTTATTAAAGGACATAATCTATGACCAACAGTTTTAGTTTGAAGTCTGCCACTTGTTTATCATGGCACACACTCAGTGACTGAGCAATCACGAACGTGAACTACATTTCACTATTGGAGACAGATTCAAAGAGTTGTTGAGCCTTATCACTTAAGAACATATTGGACAAAAATGCTTATACTGATTTCAGTGAAAACTCTGGAGTTTTCAGATTCTGTCTGGGGAGGATTCAGTTTTCCAAACGTGTGTACTTGTACAGTGCACTGTATCCAAGTTTTCTTATTATTATCTACTTGTCTGAGGAATTTTGTGCTGCTGATGTAATGCTTTCTCAGAATTCCTCATATAGGTCAAGCTTCTATTTGTGTATGATAATGAAGTAATATATACACAAGCAGACAAGGATGTTCCAAATTCCATAAATCCTTTTTCCTTCTGTTTACATTATTATCAGTGCTCTGGAATGGATGCCTGAGAGCATCATCAGATTATCATGTCAATGCTCAAGTTAAGTATCTCTAGCATCTCTTGCAATTAGGGAAAATGATTTTCCAGGAATCACAATTGAAAATTGCTGAGATGAGTGATCCTTATTTTCAGCAGTAGTACCATTTAGTGATGTATCTGTTTGCAATGGAAGGCAGCAAGCCTTTTATCAGAGACTGTTGGAATCCATGTTTTCCTGAGGATGCATTTTGGATTCCAGGGAGGTATGCTGATTGAAGCATTCCTTACAATTCTCTTGCTACTGAGATGTCTCAAAAATTTAGCTGAAGCATTTTATTCTGGCAGTTTCTTCACAGATAAAGAAAACTTAGTCCACAGGGTAGTTCAAATTATCTGAGAGCTTTGTGGGAAAAATGGTGATTTTCTGACTGATGACAAAGTGTTTCATGCTGTAACATTTTTCAGCAGCATCTAGGAAGATTGCTCTTGTATGCATTTCTGATCTATACAGGCTACATTCAAGAAAAGGTTAATCTGAGTACCAGGAAAAATAGCTACAAAAAAAAAATTAGATATGGAAATAAAGTTTTTTGTTTAACTGCAGCTTCTGATGATAATGAGCATAGTTTTCTTCCTAGATTTTTTTTACAGATTTTTGACCTATCCAAGGATTTACTTTGTGCCAGCAATTTGAGTCTTCTGTCCCTTTAAAGGCAGTGTCCTTTGTCTTATACTCTATTAAACTTCCTAAATTTTTTTCTTTGCAGTGTGCTTAATGCATGTGTTGCCTTTCTTTGTGATATGTATATACTTTTTAAGACTGCAGCATCTAGAACAGATTTTTGAAAGTTTTGGTATCAGAAAGCCCTAGACACGTGCAAATAACTCTGTGTTTCATGGTTAAAAAGTTTTCATTGAACCCTAACCAAAGCTCCTAAATATACTGATAAATGTACACAGCTCAGGTGTTATAATGACCGTAATCTTGACTTGGTTTTGAATTAAGCTGTTCAGATTTTGTCTCTTTTTGAGTCTTACAAATCTTATAGTTTGCACCTGAAAATTTCAAACTAGATATGAGTGGAGTGCAGTGCTGTGACTGGTCAAGGACAGGACTGCTCAGTGTAATCCAAACATGTACAAAAATTTTCACCAGCTTTACTCATTGGCCAGTACAAGAAAATAACATAGACTGTTCTAGAGACATTCTCCAAAATATCTTTAACAATTATTCTTCTGGGTATGTTTTTTATTTAGTTTTTCCTTCCATCAGTTCTGAAAAAGGACTAATTTCGTACCTCATTCATTTATTTGGATTAAAATGTCAACAGAATAGGAATAAATAGGTCAAGTGAGAAAAAAGTTAATTGCCTCTAACAGATTTGTTTGTAGTGTGCTGTTCCCTAATGTATTCCAGTTTTCCCAACTTTCCACTTGCTTTGTATTTCTTTATACCTCATGAACTCCATAATTAAAAAGAAATAAGTGTAGAGTGTTTCCTTTACACTATGCTGAAGTGTACTTAGGAATTGAAGAGCCTCAGTTTTCTTGATCTAGGTGCAGGAATGCTTGCCCAGAACCAGTGGAGTGCACATTATAGCAAGACATCAGGAAAAAAATAA